TTTCATGTAATACTAGCTCAAATTTCTGATAATTGGTCGGGGATCGCCCCTACAGGCGCTGGGCTAACGTCATCAATTATTTTCTTCGCCGGAAAACGTTTGTCATTTATACATTAATCAACATATACCGTCACACGTAGCAGCTGTATGTATTTATGTAACAAGTTTTTATAGTTGCAGCACGTGGAGTTAAAAAATTAATAACTTATTTATATAAGACAACCTTGACGCTTTATCCTATAATTTAATTCAATACTGAAAATAATTATTATAGACAATTTAGTAACGTAAAGAGAATAATTAAGTCTAATATTTAATGGGCAGTGAATTAAATTTGAAAGCAGTTTAAATAGATAAATTTTCTTCCTTCAAATGAAAAAATTTGGATTCCAATTGGTATCATTATTGAATGATATTAGAAGAATGAATGAGAATTAAAGAATTAAATTTCAAAAAATAATGTTATAATCTATAAAATCCAAAGAAAAGAAATTACACATAGCTTTTACGTGATTATTATTATTCATGCATACTTTAAATCTCATTTAAGATTATTCAATTCTAAATAATAAATATCACCTTCTTAAGTCTTTGGATGATGGCGACATCGTCTGTTCGATATTGTCTTGCTTATTCTTCTTTTAATTTCACAACTATACATAATACCTTCAAGTTTGGTCACAGAACTTTAATGAGCCGTGGATGATAAAGGAGTGCTTGAATTCTTTCAGGTATTCTAATTTTAGAAATGACGCTTGAATATTTATAGCTTATCGACCAACCCTCCTTATAAAAGTTTAGGTCCGTGAATATGCTACGTAAGTCAACCTCCCAGAAATGACACTACAAAGCAGTTTGTATATCTTATGAAAATGTACAGTTTTTATAATTTAATGTAATCAAATAAAAAAATTTTTTGCATATGATAAAATATGACTGAATTCTTCAGCAAACATAAGATTTTGAAGCTAAGCATAAGTAGTTTATATTTTTTTTTATTATATTAGCAACACTATCTAAAGATTTTATTTGTTCCTATGTCTCAAATTTCATTATCAAAACGTTCCAATATCTACACTCTGCCAAGAAGGATAAACAGGAAGCTTTGAAGATAAACTGGAATCTGGCTATTCATGCACTCTTTCAGATCATGAGATGCTGTCAGACTGATAATATTCAGAGAATGTTCTACTGTCATCAAAGCTCAACAGACTTCAAATGACTCAGAAATCAATTTATCTGTGGAAAGCATATGGCATATAATTAGAAGATATGATTCATCCACCAGAATAAAACATAAAAGCCAACAGAAAATTTCAACATTCGGGCGAAAAGGTATCGAGAATGGACAGTTAATGATTGGTGGCAAATATCAGATATTTGGATCAAACAGATGAAAATGCTGTTGGAAGCAACATAATGAACAGAACATTTATGAGACTGATACATTACACCAACAATGAAGTTCGGTAATGGTTCAATTATAATATGGGGTTGCATGAGTCGGCAAATCGATGGAAAAATGAATGCAGATATTTACGTCAATATACTGGTATCTGAAATATTTTTCCGGAAAAGCAAAAGATTTGTTTTACAAAAATGAGATTGCAGTTCTCGATTGGCCTTCTCAGTCTACTTATTTGGGAAAAGTTACAAATTGCTTGGAATAGTATTAACATTGATTTTTGCAAAAGGTTAATTAAATCAATGCCAGAACTGAATTAAGAAAGTGATTATTTATTTGATTTCCCACGCGTCAAACATGATAAAGCATTATCATTATACAATTATCTCTCACATATTGGCTTCGAGGAGAATTCTAAAACTATAATTATTTTCTGTTCTGCAGATTGAATACAAAATAGAAATCTGTCGCTCATAACATGTTCAAATATTTCCCACGAAAAGTTAACAAAAAAGAGGCGTCATGTTGATATTTAAAGAGAAAAAATGACAGGTTAGTATTTAATGTTAAAATTTTTAACAAAAAAAAAGACTTTACGCAAAGGAAGACATTCACCCATTAACAAAGGAAACTATTCGAAAAAAAAGTCGTAAAGACTTTACATAGAATGAAGATACACAGGGTAAGTAATCTTACTGAGCATGCTGATCGTTATGTTATCTGAAGTTACGCTGGATGAAATTCGTGAATCGAAATCTCTTCATGGCCACGGTTTCAAACCATGAACGTTCTTCGAAGTTTTATTCGGATGTTCCACGCCGGCACCTAAGCCCTGGGAATTTATGGTGAATAGGATAACACGAGCCAATGAATGGAAAGCTTACCGTGGCCACAGACATAATGACTATGAACGTTCTTGACGATATTGCGAGAATGCTCATGTTTTTATTTTGTTTTACAGACGATCAAGCGATAGAGGAATCTATATACGCTGGCGTTCATCATTTATAATCTCAAGAATGTGAAAAACTCAATAGTACATGTATTAACAGATTTGTACATGTACATGTATATAATGTTCATCATAAAATATAATGGTAACAATATGAAACAAAAATATTCAATTCATTTTAGTTAAAATATTATTACGGTGTAATGTGCCGAATGGTCATTTATTATGGCTAACGACTAAACTCAGCTCAACTTTACCGACTATGAGTAATGGGACGACTCAAGTCGACTAAAAGTCGATCTACATGAAGTTATATCACAAAAATAATGTATAATTACGCATATTTTAACTAGTTTATTTTTTAATATATAACTAATAAAACGAAAACAAACAATCATAACTCAGACAAAATACAATGAAGAACGAAATAAACTATAAAATATCCAACTTTTTAAACACGAGCTCTTTCGCTTGTTAAACTCTTGCTTTACTAATAACGACTCTAGCAATTGAAAATAATTTTTCACAAGGAACCGAGTTTGCCTGAATTGACAAAAGAATTTCGTGCTAACTTAGACAATAATGGAAATTCGTTTTGATGCATTTTCCGCCACATTAATGGTTCCACATCATCATCATATGAGGTACTGTCAGTTGCAAATAATTTATTAATATATCATTTGATAGTTTAAGTTTTATAGATTTACTAAAAAAAAATTTAATAGGAAATTCTTTCTCCGTTATTTTCAATAACTAGTGTATATCGTTATTTTTTGATTCAATTAAATTCTTAGCACATTCGCCGAAATTTCCCACTCTACCATAAATTGCTTCAAATCCCCACAATTTTTAGGCGTTCTTTTTTCCACATTTCTATTACAGTAGCGGTCAAAAGTATCCGACCCCTTCTAACTTTCCATAGATCATGTGTAATGCACCAAATTTTTCTGAG